CCAGGTGGCTCAGTTGGTTGGAGCATCGTCCCATATACCAAAAGGTTGAGGGTTCAATTGCCTGTCAGGGCATATACCTGGGTTGCAGGTTCAATTCCCAGTCAGGGTAGGTAAAGGAAGCAACAGACCAGTGTTTCTCACATTGATATTTCTCTCTCTCTCTCTTTCTCTCTCCTTCTTTCTCTTTAAAATCAATAAACATATTCTCAGGTGAAGATAAAAAAAAAGATCACTTTGAAAGTAAAAGCATGCCTAAGGTTCAACTCCAGGTTTTTCTAAAGTGAAAGGATAAGGTCATTCTATATCCTAAACCTGCTCAGTCTGGTCATGGGATATTAGATGGAGGCGATTTGTCAGGGGTACGGATGCTTGGAAGTCGGGGAGCTGTGTTGAATGGACTTTTGAAATACTTGTTTCTTCATTTCTGAGAGTCTGTGGACCATTTTCAAAGGGATTTGAACATGCAGTTGATAGCTCTATATATTCTTTTGATTTTAGCTTCTAAAATAAATTTTTACTTGTGTGATTTCATATTAGAAGCTATTTTCTCAGATTTATTATGGGTTACTGTAATTTTTAACAGAATAGGGACTTTGTAAGTAGGGTCTTTGCATTACAGAGAAGTGAGGAAAAACTGGGCTTTACTTGTGACATCATTGAGGGACATAATTCTATAAGGGCTACAGAAAATATAGGTAAATCTTTTCAGATTTCATTATTTAATTTTTTTCAGTTGTTTTGTTCCTACTCTCATTTTTTTTTTCTTTTTGTCTTTATCTCTAAGTACAATATGTCTACAAATATACACTCACACACAAATATATGTGTATATACACATAATTATTTATATATTATATTATATTATATTATATTATATTATATTATATTATATTATATTATATTATATTATATTATATTATATTAATTATAATTACTTATATTATATTATTTTCCTCCATAGGTGGTATCCTGACTCATGAAGCATGCGACATATTCAAAAGCTGGCATTCCCTGGTGGAACAGTGGCTTATGAATCCTGGAACACAGTAAAACATAGAAGGGAGAAAATTGAAGAAAAAAAGCATTAATTTAGGTTGGATCCAGTATCACCCTGTAACATTTAATCTTCACAACATCTATGCCAGATGAGTAATTTTATTCCCAATACCCCTAAGAAAGCTGAGACTCAGGATGGAAACACAGTTTGCTCAAGGCCCACACAGCCAGAAAGCAGTAAAGGAACATTCACACAGGTCAGCCTGTCCACACTATTATGGTGCCTTAATAGAGGACTTGGACACAGGCATCCAGGGGTATTCATGTTCCCCTGGACTTGGTGAGGAGAAAAGTATGATTCGCTCTGCATTCCAGGCACATTTTATTAGAACAAAGAAAGTGACGAGACTGATTGTAAAAATGGGAAAAGTGATGTACATGAGCTCATGTCTGACAAAGGCAGAGAGCGAGGCTAAATCAGTGCTATCAGAGCTGGGGAAGCGTCAGGAAGATTTGCAGTATTTATTTAAAAGTGCTGTTTTCTGAACCACACCTCTGAATAACAGAACGAGACCATTCGTGGGTGGTGCCCAGGGGTGTGTACTTTTTTAATTATCCCATTTGATTCTAAAGATTTTGAAAGTCCGAGAACAACTGATTCAGCTAATCCTTCTGCTATTTCTGGGCATGAATTCACCTTTTCTTTGGAGTCTGTTAGTCACCTATCATTTACTAGAGCTTAAATAAATGTAGTGCTTTGCTGTAAAAAGATATAAAGAAATTAGAGAAATTCATTATTGTCTTTCAGAAATTATTTTTAAGTTCGTTGATTCTAGTGTAGTGGATAAAAACATGGGGTCAAGAATCAGGCTGCTTTGGGGTCAGTGATAGTAATTAACAATACAGTGACTCTGAACAAGTTATTAAATGGATGCCTCTAAGGCCCCTTTGCCTCACTGTGTAATTACGACAGTAAAAGATACACTTCATAAGGTTATTGCTATGTTTAATTGAGATAACAAGTGTCAAGTTTTCAGATAGTAACTGACACTTAGCAAAAGTTGAATAAACATTCACTATTACTTATTGAGCATCTGGTAATAACTAAGCCTTTGCTAAATATAAAAATAAAAATAGAAAGTGGAGTCTTGAAGAATACCCTCGGTCCAGACAGTTCCCGCAACACTCTCTTTTACACAAGCCACGTTTAGAGTGGGAAATGATAATTCCTTTTATAAGCTTAGGAAAACAGAGCATTACTTCCTTCTTGTCATCATCCATACCCAGAGAAATGGATAACAACATTTTTTTTTTTTTGGCTGTTTAAAATTTTAACTTTATTTTTCAATTACAGTTGGCATTGAATATTATATTAGTTTCAAGTGTACAGCATAATGGTTACACATTTATATAACTTACAACGTGATCTCCCTGATAAGTCTAGTGCCCTTCTGGCACCATACGTAGTTCTTACAATATTATTCACTGTATTCTTCACGCTGTACTTTACGTCCCATCGCTGTTTTGTTAGTGCCAATCTGTACTTCTCAGTCTCTTCGCCTTTTTTTCCCAGTCCCCCAATCCGTCTCTTATCTAGTAATCAACACCTTGTTCTCTGTATCTGAGTTTGTTTCTGGTTTTTTTGTTTACTTTGTTCTATACATTCTACATATAAGTGAAATCATATAGTATTTGTCTTTTTCTGTCTGACTTATTTCACTTAGCATAAAACCCTCATGGAAAATTACTTGGCCTTAAAAAAAAAAGAACCATTATGACTGATAAGGTGGATAGACTCAGAGGGTATTATGCTAAGTGAGATAACAACTGTTTATGAATTGATCTCTGATCCTTTAGGATTAAAGACTGAATTGTATTCTGACATTCTTGTTCTCAGAAGAGTTATTTTCTAAAATTTTCTAGGTAGATAAGTGATGGATACTATAGTTGCTACTGTAATTTTATTTCAATCTCCATTCAGTAAGTATGTATTAAATGCCTATTCTGTGGAGGCTCCAATGTAAAACTGTCATAATCCCTGCCCTCAAGGAGTTTACACATCTAGTGAGATGTAGCAGTTAATAATAATAATAGTAGTAATAGTGATAATAATTATGTCAAACTATCTGAATAAATAATAAAATTAGCAAATAATGAACCAATCTAATTTCAAATAAAGACAAATGAGAAACACCAAAAACATTTAATAAACCAAGGGTTACAGTTATAGAGTAGTATATAGATAATAGGCACACACACAAAAAAACTCTTCAAGAAATCTTCTCTGATAACATGGGAAGGGCAGAGAGCAGAATAACACAGACACACACTCACACACACACAGACTCAGTCAAAATCCTTCTGAAAAAAGGGAAGGTTAAAGTTGAGTGAGGTCAAAGCAACTTGATTCATTTCAGAAAGGAGTTTTCATCTGAGGAAAACTGGAATTAACACACAGATAGGGATCATATGCAAAGCATTTGAAATGCATGTTTAGTGAGTATTAAANCTTTTCATCTGAGGAAAACTGGAATTAACACACATAGGGATCATATGCAAAGCATTTGAAATGCATGTTTAGTGAGTATTAAATTAATAATTCATAACTTAAAATTCACTCAGATGTAAGAAGAGGAGGCAAATAGCATGGATCACAATAGATAAGCAATATTTTCTTTTCAAAATTAAAATGTAATACTTTGACCACCACATTAATGTCCTTAGATTTAGATGGCTCACTTCTACATAACATCAAAAGGTAATAAATGCATCCGAATAGCTATAGAATGCCATTTTTCCCCAAGCCACCAACTTAAGTGATGATATAAACAAACAAAGGTATTAGGAGATGGTTCAGTAACAAGAAATATATTTTCATTAAATGAGTATTGCTTAAGCATCTACTAAACAGTGGTTCATGGAGATATATTCAGATTATATTTCTAAATCACTGTATGAAAAGGTAAAACTGTAATAGGCCTTGCCTACTATGCTATGGCTTTCTTTTATATTAGCTCTCTCACCAGTTGTTAACCTGCACATTTCAATGTGTCTCTCCTTTCCCCTCCCTTCTGCTTTCCTACTGCTCATCACCCTTCACTTACACTCAAAATCTACAGCCCTGAGCCCAAGAAGACTTTTGAAAGCGTAGGAGGTAGATATCCTTCTACACACTACACAAGGTAATTTTCGAAAGTGAGTAACTTAAATACACATGCTTACTGTTATTATTTTGAATTATTATTATTAAATTAGTAGTAGTAGTATTGATTAGGCAGGTAAATTTCAGGTAAGCAACTTGCTCAGGATCAATTCTTTCAAGTGTAAACCTTTTTTTATAAGATGATTCAAAAGTAATTAGATGGTACAAAAAATACATTTGGTAAACTATAACATTTCTCACCAAAATCAAGACAAAGCACACATGCCAATAGATGTTGAACAACATTTTCCCACCAGACCACACATTCTAATAGTTATCTTTAAAGCTGGTTTAAAATTCAAGGTTTCTAACTTTGCCTTTAAGACTCACCTATAGATTAATACAGAGCAAGAGCAGCTAGTGGCACCAGAGTTCCGCATAAGAAATTGTTTCTGAGTTTTCCTCATCCAGAATACACAACATACAATAGTCTCCTCTGTTCCTTAGCATGTCAAGGAATATTCTGCCTGAGTTAGGAAAGATATTTGTTGGGATGAAAGAAAAGATCCGTTTCCACTGCTCTCCAAGGTTTCTGTAGATTCTCCTTAAAATAGAATCTCCCAGGAGTGGCTTCTCTTCAAAGTTTCTGCTTTCAGATGTGTCCCTCAGCTGTAAAAATAAAGAGTGAGAATAAATAGTTACACGAGTTTGTTCTCAATCTTAAGAGGTGGCATTAATCAGAATAGTAATTACCCTGAGAAGGCTATAAAAACAAGGGTTCATCTTTCTTTCTCCGAAGAATAGCACAACTCTCAGGTATTTTGAGCTCTGCCTCAACTTCACTATAGTAACTCAATCAGCAATGAAGATTCTTTGTGTTTTCCTGACCTTTGTCTTGATTGTATCTTGTGGTCCATCAGGTAATGTCTGTTAATATAGAAAAAGAGGGGAGGGTGGAATTTTTTTTATATAAATGCTTTACTCTGGAAAAATAAAACAAATAAATGATTGTTAGGAAACTGCATATGAATTAATAATAAAATCCACTTTATTTTGCATAGAAGAAGAAATGAGTGAAACTGATAGTTGGTAAGATAATAGAGGGGAGGGACTCCCAAGATGTACAATTAAACCTGTTTGCTGTTTTGTTTGATGAGACTCTGAGTTCTTATGTCCTTCTTACTGCCTTCTCTTTTTGAACTGATATTGACGTAGCTGTTGTCAAAATGAAGCTTTCTATAACTAACTAGCCCAGTAATTTGTACTGGGGAGAGGAGTGTTGGAGATATATGGCTCTTTAGAACACAAAACATGTAGACTATTTTTTGCACATCTTTTTCTCTTTTCTCTTGAGGAAGCATGCACAGAGTAGATATTTAAGGATATTCTATTTCAAAAAAAAAAAAAAATGCTAGTGGCAAAAGAAATAGTTGGATAATAAAAACATGCCAATTTACAGGGGATAAAATCACAACTTTTTAATACAGGTGCCTGGGCATGATTTCAGAAACAAAATAGTTTAACTCTATACTTTAAAGAACTTTATTTACTTATCTATCTATTATCTGTCTGTCTATATATCTGTCTATGCAAGTGGATTAAACTTGGATTTATGATCATGGCTACTTTTTCTTAGCTTCACAGAGGAAAACAGGAGAAAAAACAAGAGAAAACCCGAAAGAGCTTTCAGAGAGAAAAACAGAATGTTACCTTGTTCGTGGTGCTTGCAAGCCTTCGTGCAACTCCTGGGAATACATATATAATTACTGCGATAATAAGCCCTGCTGTGTTGTAAGGGAATATATAAAACCAAGTTAAATGCCACAGTACTTTAGCTTATAGAAATGTAATTTTTATTCCTACTATACCATGCAACATTACAATGTAACAATATTATTAATAAGAAAGAACTTTCTACTTTATTTAAATCTATTTTCTCATGAGTGTCCTTTGGCCTTCTTAATTACACAACTATAACACGGCGACTAGTGAGTTCAATGTTGAGTTAGTACAAGCAAAAGGAAGAAGAAACAACCTCTTCATTAAGCTGGCCGTTCTCCACTCACATTGCAAACACCCTCCCTCCTTAACACTTCCCTTCATCTCTGGCCTGTTTATTTACCTTGTGCAGTACCTAATTATTTCCATAGAATCTTTCCGGCATCAACCATCAATCATGGTTTACGCCACCTTTCCATATTTTTAGCAAAAATATGCTTGAGTTTTGGACACAAAGTCATATACATCATAATCCCATAACAGAACAGTACTGACAATGTGAGAAAGCGTAATCAAGCAAAGCTCCATAAGGAGTAGAATGTGATAAGAATAGAAGCAAATTAAAAACATTTTAAAGGTATTTTTTCTAATGGTAAATAAGAATACAGACATGTCCAAAAATAAAAAGAAAAGTCAGTTCTTATTCTAATTCTACTATCCAAAACTCTTTATCACACTCAATTCTGTACATAGGCAACTAACCCAAGGGGCTTCTCTCTTGGTTCTTAAGAATTTTATTTAACTCTTTTATCTTATAATTCAGTATTTAATGTTTCTGTTCTTGTCCCTGTCTTCAGTGAACTCATTGTGCTTCCAGTTTTTCACATTCCACATTAATTCTATCATAATATTGAATTAATGTTGACACAAAATTTCTTATGAATTATAAAGTACCCCTTCAGTAAATGCTTGATATTCAGAATTTAAAGTCTTCACTGAGTGTTTTTTTGTTTTTTTTTTAAACCTATAGCTATAGCACAGATCTGGATAATATAAAAAGGTAGGTCCAAATTCTGATTTAGAGGAAATGAACAAAAGTTTAGTGCATAGGGAAGTACATGAGGAAAGGATAATTCCCAATTTAGTTTTCTTACTTGAAAAAAATTTGCTGAACAATGCAATGATTCAGTAGGAAATATTATAAAAGGTGCAGATTTGAAAGAAACATGTATGAGGTGTTAAGTTTAGACTTCTCTGCTGTATACATGAGTGAAAGTCATGAAAGAAAAATGTGCTTTGAATATAGATTTGAGGAGCCATGAACTGAAGTAATAAGATTAAATCACCCAAGGGAAGACTACAGATTGAGGAGGGGAAAATAGTCTAAAATACCAACAAATAACATCAAAGAATGTTAAGAAAAACTAGACTATACAAAAAAGGGCAAGAAGAAACAGTTAGCCCATGAGAAATCACTCCCAGTTTTCATGTCTTTCAAGAAGAGCACCTAGACATAGAAACAAAGAGCTAACACGGTCTCACTATGTTTTATGTTAATTTCTGACCCACAGAACCAATGAGTATAATAAAATGGGTGTTTTTTTAAGCCATCGAGTTTCAAGGTAGTTTGTTTCACAGAAATATTAACCAGAAGAGTGTATAATTTCTAACTATAAAAGTTTTGTGTTTTTTTTTTTTAAAAAAAGAAATACTACGTAGTGAATCATAGGCAGGACTTCTGAAATGGTGAAATAGAGAACTTAAAAAATCTGCCCCTTCATAAAAGCAACAAAAAAAACGGCAATAATGGCAAAAAAATAATTTTTAAGAGCTCTGTGAATGAACCACAGACTTAGAAAAATCCAAGGAGCATTTATTCAAGAAAAAAACACGCCACTTAATTTCAGTAAGAACAACTAGTTTTGTGGTATTTTAACTACTCTATTATGGTCCAACTCACCCTAGCTCTGCAATACCCTTGAAAACCAGCAGCCTCTCAACCAAAGTATTTGAAAACATATAATGCATATTTACAACTTAATAAAAAACACATAACCCAATTATAAAATGGACAAAGGAATTGGATATATATTTCTCCAAAGAAGATATACCAGTGTTCAACAAGCACATGGAAAGATGTTTAACCTCAATAACCAGCAAGAAAATGCAAATCAATATCACAATGAGCTACTACTTCCCACCCACTAAGAGGGCTATAATTAAGATATTAACAAATGTTGGTGAGGGTAAGAAGAAATTGGAATTTTCATGCACTGCTAGTAGGAATGTAAATTGGGGCAAATACTTCACAGAGCAGTCTGACAGTCCCTGAAAAAGTTAAGAATGGAGTTTTCACTTGACTCTGCAATCCCACAGTTAGGCGTATGTGCAAGAGAAATGAAAACATATGTCAATGCAAATGCTGAGAGGAATTAAAGAGCTAAATAACAGAGAGATATACTTTGTCCATGTACTGGAAATGTCAAAATGTCAAATCTCATCAAACTGATCTACAGGTAAAACAAAATCCCAAGCAAAATTTCATCTGAGCTTTTAAATAGATATTGGCAATCTTACTTTAAAACTATATGAAAAATCACAAGACCTAAAATAGACGTCATAAGTTGAAGAATTTAAAACTAAGTTGTAAAGCTTACACTACCTGATTTCAGGTTTCACAGTAATTAAGAGATTTTCATATTGACATAAAGGAGAGAGATAAAGATCAATGAAATAATGTAAAGTCCAGAAACAGACTCTAATATATGTAATCTATTGATTTGTTTGCAAAGATGCTAAAGAAAGTCACTGATATTACATACTTATTTTTGGAGTTCTTCTTATGTAATAAAAGCATTTCTACACATTGGAGACTCACTGTAAAACAAGACATATACAGTTCTTTCATCATGGGGTTTTTTATTTTTGCTTAAATGAAACTACAGCCCAAGTGAACAAACTATGTGGAGGGAGCTAAGGTTTCTGGTATAGGAACATTTGTCCCAGAAACAAAAGCAATGTTTCTTCTTCAAGACATTCAGAGTCTTAATTCCTTCTGCTCACATTACAGAAGCTCAATCAGCCTATATTCACAAATCTTACCATGAGAATGGCACTGAGGAGAGGTTTTCTTCGAAAACAGATTTGTACAACAGCCAAGGAAATCCCCACAAGGCGTCCAGCTGTTCATTCTAAAACCTATGATTTTGCAACAGTGTAAAACTAGCAACTTGAATAACCAGCATTATAACAGAAACAGAACGGGAGATCCCAAGAACAGAGACAGTTTCAGGGAAACAGATCTTGATACAAAGCTCTCTTCAATATATTTGCAGAGGGATTCAAGAAGCTCTTAGACCTACAAAACAAGAATACTGCTGTATGGCAGAAGAGCAATCAGAGAATAGATAAGGGCATTTATGTTCTAAATATGTTTCCTAAAAAAAATAAAAAAGAAAGGGAAAAAAAAGAAAAACTGAAAATAAAAGTGAAAGATATATTTAAAATTATAAAACAACAAAGATATAAAGATATGAGAGTAAAGATGAAACTGCAGAGGAACATTACACATTTTACTAAAAGAAATCTCAAAAGAGAGAAAATAAACAAGAAAAGACTTTACAAACAAGAAAAGACTTTATCAGAGAAAAAAGTATAAAAATAGAAAATTTCCTGATTTGAAGAAAGATACATGCTCACCAGTGCCAGGCATAACTTATTAAAAAAAAAAAAAAAATCACAGCAGGAGATGTATGAATCCTAAAATTCGGGGTATGAAATATAAAGAGAATATCCTAAAAGTGCCTAGAGAGAAAAATATCAGACCATTTAAAAGGAGCTTGCCTAGCATTAAATATCTCATCAGGATACCAGAAGTTAGTGGAGTAATAACTTCAAATGAATTCAAATAATCAAATACAGGGGCATAATAAGAATATTTTCCAGCAAGTAAATGACAATTAAAAATATATATTTCTGAGAACAAGAAGAAAAAGGGAAAAATAAAAAGAAAGCCTGAGATCTACATAACAGTAGATTCAATGCAGGAGGGCAGGTTCAGAAAAACTTAGGATGAAATAGGAGCAGGAATAGCCTGTGAAAATGAGAGAAACTAAAGAATAAGGAATGACTGTTATTTGTTGACAGTCATTGACAAGAAAACTACAGGAAAAAAAAATACTTTTCAAAAATATCATAATCAAAAATAAAAACTAAAACTTCTGAAAACATTTGAGAGAAAAAGGGAATAATAATAAAATAATAGTAATAATCCACTTGACTTGAAACCAAGAACATTTGCCTCTGATTAGCACAGTGTTGTCCTTTTTGACACATGAAAAAGGCAATACAGACCACACTGCTTGTTGTATTACAGCCATTGAATATCGAGCATGAGTGTCTCCCTTCTGGTTACACAGAGTTCAGGGATCATCCCAGGCAAGACAAAAGCATGTATGTCACAAGAAGTGAATGAGATGTGGAAATCGAGGAGGGATTTTAAAGTGAATGGCAAGGGGGATGATATCTTCATTTTAAGTAAAGAAGTATTTAAAAGTTTGAGGATAACTCAGAGAAATTTTCAAAAATTAATATAACTTACAAATATTTAAGGACAGCACAGGAGGGAATATAAGGGATTTAAAACTGCATTTCTCATATTGGAAACCAAAATATATATTCTGTGGTTGCCAAGCAAAAACAAAATATAAGCTAAATTTCAATTCTTGTGTTAATAGTAACCAGGAAACTTGAAAATAGGGAAATTGAGGTGGGAAATTATTTCTATTCATTACAATATGTTTTTCCCCTGATATTTATTGTGTGCATATATTACTGTGAGAAAAGTTAAAATACATGAAGATTAATTGGGCTTTTCTAAGAAAAAAAAAAGCAAAACTCCATAAATATTTAAGTTGTATCTGAAAAAAATAAGAAAAATTAGTGACAAAAGTAAGGCTTGATATCTGGACTTTGGTCAGTGAGTGATTTGGGGAAACTGGCTATATAAGTACAGAATTTGGACATATGGACATAATAAATTTACACACCAGCTTAGTGACTAGAATATATTTTGAAAAGTAACCATAAGTTTAACTGACATGAGAAAGTTCAGTTGTCTTACATCTAAAATGGTAAATGAGTATTTCCCTTAAGCTCCTTTCACGCATGCCCCTTTGTGTTGATGTTTTATTGATTACCATTGATAGAAAGATGTCATATTTACAGCTATTTCTACATAGAGATTCCTCTCTAGAGAACAGTTAATTCCAAGTGTTTTCAATTTGGGCAATTCTGCCCACTGTCCTAGTCAGTGGAGCAGAGATAAGTACACAAAAAAATATAACAATTTCCGGATAAAGAGAGTCTTTCTTTCATTAGAAAACTATAAATAGTAAATGTCTCTTAGCTTTTTGGAAAGTGATCTAGTCTCTAGGTTCTGTTACCAAATCATTCGGGAGCTTCTTTCTACAGAATGAAGATCTTTTATTACCTCTTCCATTTTCTGTGTTATGCCACCTTCATTCTACCAGGTAAAAGATGCTTTCAGCATGTTCCTATGGAACATACACCTTCTAGCTAAAAATAGAAATACTAGATTATGAGTTGGAAAATGCAGGTTCTTAACACAACCTTTTCAATTAAAAACATCTCTTGATAATGTTGAATCTTGGTTTTCTCATAATAATACTGTTATACAAATGTACTTTAAATTACCTCATTTTGAAAATTAATATGCAGGTAAAATGAGATGATCTCTTCTCTTTTGAGGGGGGTGGATTGATTTCTTTCAGATATTCAAATAATTAAGAAAATCATAATTTATTAAAGTTATTTATAAGATTCAGAAGTGAAGTCTTCATAATAAATTTGCCCCAGGGAAGATGAATGGACTGAGAACAACAGTATATATCTTTACGAATACCAATAATAGACTATCAGATGATTTAGGATATAGTCCTAGAATATGCTGGACAATGAGATGCTGCAAGAGTAAAGGGACAAGTAAAGAAATAATACCTCAAAAAAAACTTTGCTAAATTAGTGAATGCAAGAGGAATATAGCAATGGCTTTATAAATCAATCAAAAATAAATTATAAAAAATACTGCAATGAAGCTCCTGGTGGAGATTATATGACAATACGATATTTTGATGGATGTAGCCTCTGAGTCAATCCAAACTCACTAACAATGGAGATGTAAATGTATATCAAAACTGTTCTAATTTTTCCCTAGAGTTGAAAATTCAAGAAGTACAGCATGTATTAGAAATAGAACTGAATTCAAACTTAAAAGATCTAGATTTAACTACCGGCTCCCTAGTTAATAGCTGTGAAACTTGCCACTCAGAGAATTTAAGTGATTTGTCAATGTCCTTAATCAGAGAGAAAGGAGAGAGAGAGAATACAGAGCATAGCAGAATCAATAATAACCACAATTTAAAAAATAAAACCAATACAAAATTTTGTGCTTGTTAATAATATGCACCTCAAACTGTAGTTAAGATTTAGTGAAACAAGGTACTGGAAAGTAGCCCTACAAACTGAAAATTAATCTATCAACTTAGATACTATTATTGTTTTACACTTGTTGCTGTTGTTATTATTAATAATGAAAGGGACCTGAGTAAGTGAGGACCTCAAAAAAGATTAGGGAAGGTGTTGGGGCCCATGGCACTAGGGTGTCAATTAATAACCCTCTAATCTAAAGTGCCTAGTGATCTCCTCAGCAAAATGCTAGACGCTGAGAAAACAGAGAAATAAAAGACAACAATCCTTTAAGCATACTTATAAGCTAGTTGAAAAAAATCAGATAAATCGATGGATTTGCTTGATTTAGCAGGTTTATATAAGTATGCTTTAAATAGTAGGGATGGTGGAATTATGGCAATTGTGGAGGTTTGGGCAAATGTCTCAATTTTTCTCATGAAGGGCTTTAAAATTGGGGGTAAGTCACTTGTATTTAGACCTTGGAAGGTGAAAGAAAGAAAGAGAAGACAAAAAGTAAGTATGAGTGTCCAGTATGTGGCAAACACTATTTTATAATTGTTCATATAGATATCTAATCTGACCTCCTAGGTAACCTTAAGAGGTGACTGCTATTGCCTCATTTTGTAGAAGATAAAATTGACACCAAAGGGGATGAATTTTCAAAGTCACACCTATATCACTATGTGTGATACCTTTAATATAAAGTCAGGCTTTTCAGATCCCAGCATATTTGTTCTTTCTACTTCATCACACTTCCTATAGAAGGCACTGAATTTAAAGAAAAGGCTGCATAGATAATTTGGTCAAAGGCAGCAAGGTCAAATGGGAAGAGAGCTGCACTTCATATGTATCAGGTCTGTACCATCAAACTGGATTTTCTCAGTATTGCAGAAAATTTTTAAATGAGACACTATAAACATGAGCACAAGATTTCCTTTGCCTTTAGATCTTTCAAACAGATACTAAGTTACAATGCCTACTGGAATGGATAGAATGCTCATATTTGACCTCTTATAGATCCCCCCCAAAAAAAATTGAAACCAGAAAGGGTAATACAAGGTGTCAGAACGGGTGACTTTGGAGGGGTTCATAGAGTAGCATGTATCTATCATAGAAGAAGCAATGAAAGGCTTTCAATCTACATGCTTCTCTTGGGGCACTGATTAGTTTGTAATAATTAATTTGTATTTATGCAATTTACAAATTAATCTTAATGTTTTTCTATATTTTATCCATCTAACAAATAATTATACCTTTCTCAATTTATAAACCCTTTAAATATTCTTGAGTAAGCTAAGAAACAAATATTAATAATTTAGAACAATTTATAACATTTTATGACCTTTACATGATGCTACTATTAATTGATATAAAGTCTCTTCAATAGTAGAGATCCAACTACCAACCATAGGATAAGAGACAAGTATAACCCTTGACAAACTCATGATGCTTCAGGAATAGAAAGAAAACAAAGATTTAATTCTAAAATGAGCATAAGAGATGGGAAACTGAATGTGACTTTTAATTATCAGTTATCATCCAACTTTAAGACATCCAAGTCAAGAAAATTGACAAATAATTCCAAAAAAGGGAATAGAATTATTTTATCTAGGTTTCCTAAAGTAAAATTTTTCATATATTCAGGTTGCAGCTTGAAAAATCATTTATTAAGCATATATAGAGTACATTATCAAGAATTTGTTACTAATAATTATATATATAAACATATTCATTTTAATAGAATTCTGTCTTAAAAACTGTCATTCATAAAACTTTCAACTTTCACATTTTCACATTCCTCTGTAGTCACAAAATAATTAAGGCTCCTAGACACAGCCAGATCTACTGTAAGCAATATCTAATTTGAGGCAATATCCAGACACTTAGTGAATGCTTTTCATGTATCAGGGTCCAACTTTTTCAATGTAGATGCCATGGATTAAATATTTAAAGTGTGGATTCTGGAATTGGAACAAGGTAAGATTAAATCCTGGGTTAAGCATGTCTTAGTTTTGCAAACTTGGGCAAATTATTTGGTCAATTAAAGCCTCACATTTTTATTTGAACAATATCTAACTCAAAGTTTTATAATAGTTAAATGAGATATGTATGCAAAATATTTACAACAATACTTGACACATAAGTTTTCAATGAATGAAAGTTATTTTTATTATTATTTGTTTTTGAACTCAAACATATCATATTCTATTTCTACTCAAAGGTGAAATTCATACTATATTTTCTGCCTGGTTCGTGTTCTTTTTCCATGCTTCCTGTTCATTTGAATAACTCTTACTAATTTTTTAAGGTTTGCATTTTCACATCACTCTTCCACAACACCATACCTTGGCAATAAGCAAACATTCATCTATTTACCCATTGAACCCAATATATTTCTCTATCATGCTACTTAATCTCTTTTTTCATTCTTGTGTATTTATCTCTGCCTCAGTGTTCCTTTTCTATGTCCTATATTTTTTTCAGTTTTTTAAATGAAATTTATTGAGTGACTGACATTGGTTAATAAGATTATATAGGTTTTATGTATAATTCTATCATGTATCATCTGTACACTGCATTGTGTGCCCACTACCCAGTCAAATCTTCTTGCATCACCATGTATTTGACCCTCTTTACCTTGACTACCTCTACCCCCTTCCTTCTAATAACATCCATAATGTTGTCTGTGTCTATGAGTTTCTGTTTGTTTTTGTTTGTTCATTTGTTGCTTTCAGTTTTACATTGCACATAGGAATAAAATCATATGGTTCTTGACTTTTTTCTGTCTGACTTATTTTGCTTAGCATGATATTCTCAAGATCCATCGATGCTGTTGCAAATGGCAGTATTTCATCTTTTCTTATGGCTGAGTAGTATTCCATTGTGTATATGTACCACATTTCTTTATTCAATTATCTAGCAAAAGATACTTCTATTATCTCCATGACTTGACGGCCGTGAATAATGCTGCAATGAACGTAGGGGTACATATATCTTTGCAAATAAATGTTTTCAATTTTTCAAGTAGATACCCAGAAGAGGTGTTGCTGGGTCATATATTGACTCTATTCTTAATTTTTTGTTGTTAATCTTCACAAGAGGATATTTTTTCCATTGCTTTTCAGAGAGAGTAGGAAGGTGGGAGGGAGGGAGGGGAAGAGAGAGAGAGAGAAAAAGGGAGAGAGAGAGAGAGAAACATTAATGCAAGAGGAACACATCGATTGCTTGCCTCCTGCATGCACCCCTACCTGGGGCAGGGAACAAACCCACAACCCAGTTAAGTGTCCTTGACTGGGAATCAAGCTCTCCACCTTTCCATGCTTTCACCACTTAACCACACCTGCCAAGGCTATATTCTTAATTTTTGAGGAGCCTCCACACTGTTTCCATAATGATTGTACCAATTTAGATTCCCACCAGCTGTGAATGAGGGTTCCCTTTTCTCCACAGCCTCTCCAATACTTGTTATTACCTGTCTCTGATAATAGCCATTCTAACAGGTGTGGGATGGTATCTCATAAAAGTTTTGATTTGCATTTCCCTGGTTGTTACTGAAATTGAGCATAAAGCCCATTGCCTTGTCTAAAAGTTGTACTCAATGGTAATGATTTAATTTCAATTATAGTGTTCTGTTCACCATTTCTTAATCTCTAAGGAGCTATTATATTCCAGACACTGTTGTAAGCATTTTAACATATAAACTATTATGTCTCACAATGACTCTGTGTAGATACTATTGCCCCCATTTTACAAAGAACTATCAATCTATACCATACAAAGACTTAGAAAAAATATTTTTAAAATGTGTTTGCTCTACCAGATGTTAAAATAGACTATAAAATTATAGTAGCCTGTTTCACACAGCAACCTAATGTTAAACCATACAAGAAAACAGCTTTATAACATGACAGCTTTTTATCATATCACCCCTACTGAGAACAATAGAATAGATGGACCAAAAAAAAAATGCTTATAGGCATTCCAAAGTTGACAAGTTAACTAAATATTCCAGAGCAAAGCCCTGGCTGGTGTGGCTCAGTTAGTTGGCTCAGTTGGTTGGGTGTCAACCCATGCCCAGGTTGCAAGCTTGATCCCCAGTAGGGAATGTGCAGGAGGCAGCTGATTGGATGTTTCTCTATCACATCAATGTTTTCTCTCTTCCTCTCCATTCTTCTCTCTAAAAATCACTAAAAAGTCACTTAAAAAATTACAGAGAAAAGAATTGGTTGAGATCCACCTTTGAGGCAGTTTTCCCTACAAGCATCTGCTCATTCTTGAAGAGGCAAGACAGAAGTTGAAAAACATAAAACTGATAGCCTTATGCTATTACAAGTACCAAACAAATGTAATCTAGAGCCTGAGAAGAAAGGAAAGCTGTAGAAAGACTGACATGTTTTGGATTTGTATGTAATAAATAATTACTGAAAAAATACAACATGATAAATCTGACCAAAAAAGAAAAAGAAAATCTAAATGCATCCAAATACATTTAAGAAATATAATTCATAAATCCCCAAATCTACGTTAATATTATGTTAGTCCAACCCACCCAGGGACTCATGCCCATTTTCAAATTTTTTTCAAGATCTATAAATGGTTTAAGGTCAGCAAGAAACAAATAATAAATTATTTCTAGAGAAATATAATATTTTTCTAGGCCTCAAGGATTTTCCTCAATTTTGCATTGATAATGTATGTGACAAAAAATCAGGAACAAATGAAAACAAGTCTATCCTATCCAATTCCTGGTCAAGGGCACCTAGCTAGGTTGCAGGTTTGGAGGTCACATGTGGGAGGCAACCAATAGATGTATATTCTCTTACATTGATGTTTCTCCCTCTCTCCTACCCTCCTTTTTACTCTCTATATAAATCAGTGGAAAAAATATCCTCTGGTGAGGATTAACAAAAAAATAAATAAATAAAAATGCTAAGAAAAAAGAAAGAAGAGAACAAAGTTGGGGTACTGATATGACCTGACTTCTAAACTTATTATGAAGCTACAGTAATCAAGACAGTGTGGTACTGATAAAAGAATAGACAAATCGATCAGTGGAACAGATTAGAGAACTCAGAAGTAAACCCTCATAAATATAGTCAACTGATCTTTGACAAAAGAGCAAAGGCAATACAATGGAGCAAAGGCAGTCTCTTCAACAAGTGAAGCTGAAACAAGTAGACATCCACAGGCAAAAAAAATTTAAAAAATCTGGACACAGACATTACACCCTTCACCAAAAAAAATGACTCAAAATCAATACTAGCCTTAAATGTAAAATGCAAAACTCTAAAACTCCTAGAAGATAACAGGAGAAACCTAGTTGTCCTTGGGCATGGCAATGGCTTTCTAGGTACAAGACCAAAGGCATAATTCATGAAAGAAAGAATTAATAAGTTGGACTTCATAAAAATTAAAATTTATCTACAAAAGACAATGACAAGATAATGAAATGACAATCACAAACTGGGAGAAATAGTTGCAATAGACACATGATAAAGGACCATTATCCAGAATATATAAAGAACTCTTAAAATTCAACAATAAGAAAATAAAAAACCCACTTAAAAAAATGGACCAAAATTCTTAAAAGAAACCTCACAAACACGTTATACAAATTGCAAATAAGCATATGAAAGAATGCTCCACATATATGTCATCAGGAAAATGCAAATTAAAACAATAGTAAAATACAGTTTCACACCTATTAAAATGGCCAAAATCCAGAATACTGACAATACCATATTACCACAAGGCTTTGGAGCGGTAAGAACTCTCATGCATTGCTGGTGGAATTACCAAAGGGTACGGCCAATTTGGAATACAGTTTAGCAGTTTCTAACAAAACTAAGTATACTGTTACCATATGATCAAGCAATTGTGCTCCTTGGTATTTACCCAAAGAAGCTGAAAAGTTATTTCTGCACAAAAAACACACACACATGGATGTTTATAGAAGCTTTATTCATAATTTCCAAAACTTGGAAGCATCTAAGATGTCCTTCAGTAGGTGAATGAATAAATTGGTACATCTAGACAATGGAATATTATTCAGTGCCAAAAAGAAATGAGCAATGAAGTCATGAAAAGACACATGGAAACCCTAAATGCATATAGCTAAGTGAAAAAAAATTCAATCTGAAAAGGCTATTTATTGTATGATTCCAACTACATGACATTCTAGAGAAGGCAAAACTATGAAAATATTGAAAAATATGAAAAAACTACTTTAAAAAGTCAATGATTGCCAGAAATTTTGAGGGAGAGAATAGGTGGAGCCAGAAGATTTTTAGGGTAGTAAAAGTATTATGTATTTTATATATGTAATACAAATGTATTTGCCTGAACCCATAGAAGATTCCCTAATATACACTATGGACTTTGGATAATTATCATGTGTGAATGTAGGTTAATCCTTAGTAATATATATCTATGTGCAATTCTGGTGAATAATGCTGATAATGAAAAAAGCTATGAGCATATGGACATGGGATATATGGGGAATCTCTCTACCTTCCTCTCAATTTTTTTGTAAACCTAAAACTACTCTAAAAACAAAATCTTTAAAAAATGAAAACCGTAAAAGAGCAATTATGAATTCATGAACAATAAAAACTTATACCAATAACATAATAAGCAAAGTATATGAACAATTAAATAGAGAAAAATGAAAAATTGTTCAAAACAAATAACTAAAGGCATAAAAATTAAAATTGCAATGAATGCCAATTTATTCTGGGGCAAAATTTGCATGCCTTATTGGTGGCAGTATATAAGAGAAGCACTCTGAACTCTATCTCTTTTAAACTATCCCAAATATGTATCATGTAAATATTAAAGTATGCAATACTAATTTGTTTATCACAATCTTAAAATGTTAAAATTTTAAATATGCTCTAGCTGAAAGATTGAATAAATCATCTCTTGTAACTTCAAGGGACTATTTTAAGCTCTAAAAAATTTTTAATCTTTGTTAAGAGTAATAGATGACAAAATTTAATTATATATTAACTAAAAACCAGTTTCAATTTTATGGAGATGAGTAATATTTTTAACGTCTCCTTATTTTTTTAATATTTTCCAAATTTGTTTCAATATACATATAGCACTTTTTGTAATAAGAAATATGTTCTAAAATAAAAGAGCAGTAATTTCAGTTATTTTTCTTTTACTATAGCCACATGTTCCTTGGTGGATCCTGAGAAGTGCTCAAAATCGTTTGGTCATTGTAGGAGACGCTGTTTAACAGAGGAAAAGACAATTGATGTATGTTTATCACCAAATAAGCTTTGCTGCATTGAGAGGATATTAGAATATAAGTAGTCTGGAATGGAAGATGTACCTCTGACCAAAGAAGTCATGTGTTCACCAACGCAGAGAGATATAGAATATAATTAGAACTTCTGTAATGAATAAACACATAAACCAATGTCGGCATGTTCCTTTGTAGGCGCTAATTATGTATCCAATGAAATGAGTTAGCACTTTTCTTACTTTCTCTAAGCTAGAGGTTTTGGTAGAGGCATATCATGGATACTGTATTTGCTTCAATTTAGGACCACTTTTGATCTGTTATGGTTCAACTAAACTTAAACAATTGAACATTTCCAAGCTTAACCATGGTCTCATAGAAATTTGATTCATGAAAAGTAATACCCATAGGGTTATCAATTACCTAGACGTCATCATCATGTTCGTGATGTTAAATGACAGGACACCTAAGTAATGAGATGAATACATTGGCCTTTCCTCTCCTCTCTCAAGTTTCTGCTCATTCAAAAATGCACAATAATTGAACACTATCTAATACTAGTGTTATTAAACTGGGTTTAAATACAATCTGAACTTTGGTTAAAGAATTTAGACTCAAAATATTAGCTCAGTATGTTCTTACTAACTTCTGGATGGCATAGGAAATGCATAAAGATTTATTATTTCAGCCTCAATATAAGCACTATATGACCTAAATAGTCTCTGCAATGTTAAAGTTGGAGACTGAAATGTGTTTTCCAGCTAAAAACAAAGGATAAATCAACCCTTTATCAATATTCTACCAGGTTCCCAAACATATTTGTTAATCATCATGTTCTCTTAAACTAATTTAACTACTGGCCCAAGATCATTGCTTTTTTTTTTTTAATTAGAAATCTGGTAAAGCTAGTGGGAATTTAGACCTTAAACAGCTTGTAACAAGGTAGCATCATTTTTAGCTACCAGGGATTTAAGAGATGTGTAACTAAAAAAAGTGTTTAATTCATGTAGTTAGAGGCAAAGCCAAAGTCTGTACTTCTGCATGATCAAGAATCAGATATGAGTATCAAATTTAAGGATTTCAGAAGAGAAGAAAAAGTTCTAAGGGTGAGGAACAAGTATAAAAAGTTGAGTGCAAAAACACATAAGGTAAAAATAATTCAAAATTTACATTAAAACTTTGAAGAAAGAGATTTTGGAAGGTGGTGATGGCATCGTAGTAGCTTAAAATGGGGCAACTAAATGGTGAAATCAAAATTCATGGGAAAATTTACAACTAACTAGGTGACAAGATACCCCACATACCTTACCATATAGATGGGAGGGGGAAAAATCAAGAACTTCAGGGTCTTTGTGGAATCTGTATCTGTGTAGGAGAAAGCAGATGAAGAAAAGCGGCCTTTTGATGGATATGAGAACGGAAGATCCCCAGAGTGCCAACGGCATTCACAGCAAGGATAAGGGCCAATTTGATAACAGCAGCTATAACTGGGAGGAATTTTCCAGTCTAACAATGGGTAAGTAAAATGATAATAAACAATGACTGACAGCGCTGGAGAAGTCTATTCCTCTGAACTCCTGAAACTGACCAGACAAGACCCCTATTAGGAAAATAAAACAAACAAACAACAACAACAAAACTGCTGGGAGTGGGGGGGAAATTGGCCAGGACTAGGAAAATAGCAAAGGGAAACTGAATTTTTCCCTATGCCTACAGTCAGTGACAGATCCATGTCCAGAAAGAGCATTTCTCAATATCTCAAATTAGTGTGTCAATGAGGGACAAAGAACGATGTAAAAAATACCCAGTCCTAAAACTCTAACCAAGATATTGGCAGCATCATGTGCTTGCTCATAATATTACACGTCATTGGCTGTGGCTTTGTAGATGTTTCTTCCACAACTAGATTTCAAGTAAATTATAAGCATTTAGGAAGTAGAGAAGTGCCTCGGTTTTCAAATGGAATCTGTTCCAGAAGATCGCTCGAGTTCTGAAACGTTCAAAAACCAAGGGATCAACAGTCAACAGCCAGGCCTCAGGACCTTGCCCCCAGCAGAAGCCATGCGGCAAGTTCGACTTCTGAGGCGTGTTGGAGAACTGAAGCATTTCCTCCTGGGTTTACGGCGTTTGTAAACCGAAATGTTCATCCAAGGACACGTGAGATTCTTTTCCTTTATCTCTCCTCAAACCCATTACAGGCTTATAACCATAGTTGATATTAATCAATAAGTGTTGGAAAATCAAAAAGCATTTATTCAAGATATTATTTGCCTAAAGCAGACATTTTATCTATATATCTCCCAACTATTTAAGATGGTCCTTATATGCATGCCATACAAAACATTAATTATTTTTCTTAGTTTCTTTCATTGTGATCCTCCAAGATTACTTCCTGTCCATGGTAGTAAGAGTGGGAATGATGAAAAATAACTAAATCATTGATTTATTTTGAAGGTAGAGCCAAAAGAATTGCTGGGGACAGAAAGTGAGAATGGGACTTGCACCCTTGCAAGCCAGGATGATCTAAGGTTTTTTTGCTCAGATAACTGTAAAAATAGAGTTGCCATTAAATGAGCAGGGAAAACTGTGGGAAGTATAAGTTTAGCAAGAGTGTGCATGTCAGGAGCTCAGTTTGGGGATGTTAGGTTAGATATTTAATAGGAAATGTAAAATTGGCAGTTGGATATTTTCCTAAAGTTCAAACAAAAGGTTTCAGGATGAAGATTAAAAACTTAGAATTGCCAACATCTAGATGGACTTAAAGCCATGAGATTGACTGAGATCTCCATGGGAATGGGTACAGAAATTTTTTAAGATTAATCCATATATCCCTGGGTATAGCAAAATTCAAAGATTGATGAGATGAGAAGCCAATATAAGAGACTAATAAGAAGTAACCAGAAAGTCAGGAGACAACTAAGTAATGTGGTATCCTGAAACTCCACTTAAAAGCATATATCTATAATTGCTAATAAGCCAAGAAAAATAAAGACAAAAAATGACCAATAAATTATCATGTGAAAGCATTTGAAGACCATTACTAGAACAATTTCAGAGGACTGAAAGAATCAAAACCCTCATTCATGAGAGACTGAGAGGATGGAAGTTTAAGAAAAAATATAGAAAATTATTCTGAAGAGGTTGACAATAAATGGAAAAAAAGAAATGATGTAGTTGTTAGAGGTCAAAATGAGGTCAAGAGAGAATTTCTTTTCAATACTTATAACTGGAAAATTTAAAACATTAAAAGATTTAGTGGAGAAGAGAAAATAGATTATTAACTAGGCAAAAAGGGATGGATCTAAATAGAAAACAAAGATGCCATCCTTTGCTGGGCTCATGAGGACTCAAGAGTGTTCATCTAGGCCATAGAACTGAGGCAATTCCACCTGGTAAAACTGGGGAACACTATGGAAGTCGATGAAGTTCTTTAATGATTGCCAAAATTTCTCAATAAAGTAGGAAGCCAAGTCTTGAGCTAAGATTTAGAAAATGGGAGAAGGCTCTGGTAGCTTCAAGGGTGAGGAGAGAGCATGAAATAATTTCCTAAAAGAGTAGAAGAGTGAAAGGAACCAGGAACTGCAATATGATTACCAGAGTACTAATTAATGACAGTGAATTTATTGTGAAAACAATGTTTTTGTTCTCTCATCATGTGAGAGTACAGACATGGTGTAAACTGAGAAAGGGCTTGTTCATTGTCAGATCTGGAAGTCAGTCACTGGTTGTTCGATCTTTTGACTTAGCAGAAATACAATTATATTGATATTGGGATATAAGTAGCTGGAAAGGACTTTAGTGGGAGCACAACTATAAATATTCAGCTCTAATAACTATAGAGATTAATTATTTAATATTTGTTAGTTTATTTTTTTATGCATTCACTGATCCATTCATTCAAATATTGCTAAGTATCAAGTATGTACTTTGCTATACAAAATTCTGGTGATTTAGTAGCAAACGATAAATTCAATGCTATCATCAAGAAGATACTCAAGTGAGCATATATGGAGAGGGAATGGAAACACATAAATTGAAAAACATGTTAGTTATTATTTATTTTTAATCGTACTAAGAAATATTAAAGAGAATTACCTGCCATGATGAGATGAACTGTATTAGTATACTAGGGCTGCCATAACAAAATACCACAGACTGGAAAGTTTAAACAACAGAAAACTTCAGAAATCTAGAGGCTGGAAGAGCAAGTTCAACATGTCAGTGGGCTTGGATTCTTCTGAGGCCTCTTTACTTGGCTTCCAGATATGTGTCTTCTTGCTAGATCTTCACAAGGCCTTTTCTCTGTGCCTGCACACCCTGGTGTCTCTTCCTCTTTTTATAATAACACAAGCTCTATTGGTTTAAGGCTCCATATTTATGGCCTCATTTAAATTTATTTGACTCTTTAAAGGCTCAGTCTCCAAATACATTGGGAGTTGGGGCTTCAACAGAAGAATTTTAGAGAAACACATATCAGTCCATAATAAAAACTGATAAAATATTGAATGGAAAAAAAAAAAGCCCGTGAAATTAGAATATAATTTTCTAAAGAAATGAAGTTTAAGCTATGCCCTAAAGATGGAGCTAGATGGCAAAATGTCCCATTCCTGATGCAAAATTAGGGGGCAGTCTCCAAGACCACCTTCAATTATGACAGCAATTGTTAAGCTCCGGGACCCCAAAATATCTTCAGTTTTTATTATTTCCTAGAAGGACTCACTGAAGTCACTGAAAGCTATTATATTCATAATTATGATTTATTAGAGCAAAAAATATAGCTTAAAATCAGTGAATAAAAAAGATACATGAGGAAGAGTCCAGGAAAAGTTCAAGTGTGGAACTTCCAGTTATTTTTCTCAATGCAATCAGGAATATTGTTACTTTTCCCAACAACAATGGGTGACAATACACAGGGAGTATTTCCAACCAGGAAGGTTTACCTGAGCTCTGATGACTAGGAATTTTATTGGAGTTTCATCAGATAGGTATAGTTGATATTCCACCTGGCTGATCTCAGTCTCTAGCCCATGTGGAGTTTGAGTTTAACTGCATAACCCAAAGCCCTCAACTT